CATAAATCACCGCCAATGCTGATAACTGAACTCTTGGATTGTGACTTAGGAAAGCATATTCGTAATTGTCATCCCGGGAAGATTCCACTGATTTTCAGAAACTGTCTCGATTATGTTAGACGTGGCGAAAGGTCTCGCGTATCTTCATCATGAGCATAATCCACCGATAGTTCACCGAGACGTGGCCAGCAAAAACATACTTCTTACCAAAGAAAGGCAGGCAAAGATTGCTGACGTCGGTCTTGCCAAAGTGCTTCCAAAAGGCGAACAAAATTATTGTTCTCCTGTGCCCGGAACGCCAGCTTATGCTGCACCAGAAACGTTTCACCCCGACTATGATCCAAGGTTTTTTATGTCAAGGAAAGGCCGATCGCCTGTCGAATATGGCACTAAGATTGACATCTTTTCACTCGGAATCGCTTTGATGGAAGTTATAACTGGAAAGCTACCTAATCCTCAGCCAGGTGCTAGTCCATTTACGAGCGGTACGTGTCAAATTTTATAAGTTGTATAAAACAATGTCTGAATGCAATTTACAGTTTATCCAAGTGTACATATAGAAGTATTATCGAAGCTGAATTTTGAGAACGCACCCTGAATTGATTTTTAAATATTAATTTTAGTGATCACTCTTTCTTCAGGAGGAACTTTTCTTGTGTTTCAATTTTTGGGCTCAGCTGTCCTGTTTAAAATAACATCAGTGTCAGTCTCTCTTCTCTCTCGTTTAGTCATTAGTACTGTCACGGCAGGAGCAAGGCAGATAAATGAATTATGCATACCGTATTTCCTTGAATAAGCACCCTCCCCTGAATAAGCACCCTACAGCCTGAATCTAAATGTTAAATAAGCACCCCCCTCAAAAAGGTGTCCCCTTCTTGCTCCTCCTCTGTTTTCTCAAATTAGTTGGGATGTAGATAAAAACAGTTTCTACAAGGATTGCTAGTTCAATCGGAATGCGCCCAATAATTTGTCTGCACCATACACATGCGTCACATTTTCAGTTCCAACTGCATTAACATTGTACTGCTTGGCTTAGTCCCTGTCGTCTTTTTGAGGAAATGAATGTTTCCCAAGTGTTTGAACAAAAAAAAAAAATTGAAGTATTTACTTTAAGCGGATAATGCTGTAGTTTTTGTTTAACGATTTAGCCAATAAAGTTTTCAAGCACCTACTAGATTAAGCACTTTCCTTTGAATAAACACCCCCCCAACCCTCCCTTCCTTTACTCAAATTTTAAATAAATGTTTTTAAGGAAATTAATGTTTCCCAAATTTTAAACAAGAAATATTGACTTTACGTGGATAATGCTGTAGTTTTTGTTTAACGATTCAACCAATAAAGTTACAATTCTTTGAAAGTAAAACTTAATAGGCGCCCACTAGATTAAGCACCCTCCTTTGAATAAGCACCCCCCCCCTCACCCCCCTTCTTATAGCCAAATTTTAAACAAGTGTCTGGGCACTCATTCAAGGAAATAAGGTATCAATGAATTTTTCCCCTACCCAACCATACAAAACTTTGACAATGGTGTGAGTGGTATCTTACTCTTCTCTTGTCCCTACATTGTTGTGTCGATTTACAATTTGATTTTATTTAGTGTGAAACTTAAGCAAATTCTACATTCTCTTCTCTGTTTAAAGATGGTGTACAGATCCCAGAAAAGTATCATCGTAAAGGTGACATCGAGAGGATGGGTGAGCATAAGCTAAAGGAAATTGTGTTTCTTTGTATCGAGGAATCCAGCGACAGGAGACCTAGTGCGGAGGAACTCACTAAAATGCTTCAACGAGAATGTTCAAAAATCGAGCAGAAGAAAATTATTGCAAACAGAGCTAGAGGGGAAATCCCAACAATTGAAGTCACAGTTCTCGGGCAATCAAATGTGGGAAAGACATGTCTCATTTCAAGATTTGTTAACCACAAGTTCCCTGAGATAGAAGCTCCCACATATGGTTGTGATCACAAACACGTTTCCATCAAAATCC